TCTCTGGAGACTTAAAAGCTCATTAGTCTGACCTTTGGTCTCTGGAGGAAGTGAGGAAATAGCATCCTGCTCTTAGAGAATGGAGACACCAAGCACTCAAGGGACAGGCTTAAGCAACAAGGGGGCAGAGCTAGAAAAAGTGCCAAGATAAGAGTGTTCCAGAGCATTAATAATTATAATAAAAATAATCTCTCTCGTTTGTGGGGGCTTTACAGTTTACAAAGCACTTTCACACCTATTAGCTTATTGGCTCCACAACACAGCCTCATTCTAAGATAGGGCAATGTTCATCTCGGTTTTGTAGACTAGATGAAGAAAGGGAACCCCAGAGAAGTTGTACGATTTGCCCAAGGTCACAGAGCGAGTGAGCGGCAGAGTGGGACTAGAACCCGGGTCTGCACTGGGCTCTTCTGTGGACTGGGCAAGAGAAGTGGCAATCCTTCTTCCACTAGCATGAACAGCAACAGTGAAGGTTAAGAGTGAGTGAGGCACACAGAAGGGGTGGTGCATAAAGTGCAGGTTTCAGAGAGCTGAAGCTGTGGGCTCAGGGTGGGGTTGTGGGGGCTGGATCCCAAGGCAAAAGCGCAGGCTGGGATAGCAGAGGCGCCAGTACTGAAGGCTTGAGAAGGCAGTGGGAGAATTACGGGTGTTGGTGGCTATTGGAGGCGTCTGAATAGGAAACGAAAAGGAAGAAAGATTACTGTGAAGTTCCTGGGATGAGAAAAGGAGCCCCAAACTGGGTTGGAATCTGAGCAAGTCTGCGTACACCTCAGTTCAGAATAGGAGTTTTCTCCCACCAAACTTACCCAGTCAAGTTGACCTCTCAGAAACTGCCCGGACGGTCATCTCGACGGAAACGAGCAACCGCCCAGGAGCCCATGGCCCTTTGGTAGTTGTAGTTTTTAGAACTCAACATCGGTGTTTAAAAGTATTTATCGCCTCTCTGTCCAAAACTATAACTCCCGTGGTGCATCGCGCAGATTGCTCAATACGATCCTAGGAATACAATTCTCAGAGTTCTACGCGGCCCTTTGTCGTTGGGTGAAACCGCCCAAGGTCCGGGATGTGGTGTGATTCCTCCCCCTGGTGGTCAAAGAACGGCCGCCAAGATTACAAGGTTGTAGCGGAGGTTTCTTCTAATAGTCCCGTTAATAACCTTCCGCCTCACCGATTCCCAGACGTGCCTAGAAATAACCGTGGCTTCACTTTATCCTCAGGGAGGGGAGGAGGAGGTCTGAACTTGTTTTGTGTACACCCCAACTTTGCTTCCTGTGAGACTATGACACTGTTCATTCGACTTAAGGGCACATTTCCTACCAACCTTTACCTGTTGACACTTGTGATTTTCCTTTGTCTTCCAGAAACTCACTGGCTAAGAACAAGGAGAAAACTGATACATCACTGGTCCTCCCTATCCTCCAGCCCCAGCCCCTCCATCGTTCTCTCTTTTCTGGTCGTATGCTGGTTCTTAGGGACACATAGGTGAACAAGATGCCACCAAAGATGCCACCAGCCTCAAAAGAATCCAGTCTAGCAGAGGATCCCACAAATGAATACTTACAACACAGTCATGTATTCTAATAATGGAAACGCAAGGGGTTGTGGGAGCCTTGAAAGGGGGCACCTGCCCAGGCATGGGGGAAATGGGAATTTGTCAGCAAGGCCTGTTAGAGATCTTAGAGAGAAGTTAACATTGAGAACTAAAGGAATAGGACTTAGTACAGGGAGTGTGAAGAAAGTTTTTCACTCCGCTGAGGCACCGTGTAAGGGATGGAACATGGAGACACCTGAGGATAGACAGGACCACATTCACAAGAGCCTTGTAAACTTCCATAAGAAATTTGGATCATTCAGGCAGCTCAAAAACTTTCAGCAGCTTTCTACCACCTACTGAATGAGGTCCCAGCTCCTTAACCTGACATTCAAGGTCTTCCCCAAGCTGGTCCCCCACCTTCTCCTCCAGAAGTGCTACTCGTGCTCATCTCTGACAGGAACCCCCTCTCTTCTGCCCTGCCCTGCTCCCAGCTACGTTTATCTCCCCACCATTCTCAAGATGTATCAGGTTCTCACTGACACCTCCACACTCATGTTCTTCCCTCCACTAGGTACTGTCCTGCCTGGGGCCTGTCTAATCCTGTCTTTGAAAATTCCTCTAAGTCCTCCCTTTCTCTCCATGAAGTTTCTCTGATTCCTCCAGTCCCAAAGGACCTCTGCCCGCTCTCAGTTGCTAGGATATTTGTGTGCACCTTTCATTTGGGGGATTACCTCACACCGCCTTGTGCAATCTCCTAAGTGGGAGGTCTTAACCCTCCAATAAACGGTGAACAACTTGAGGTCAGGTGCTGAGTCCTGTAGCTGATCCTTCCATCCACCCACCCCGCGTACCCTCAAATCACCAGTGTCCAGAGTCTGTCCTTTAAGCTTCCTTGGGGTCATCTCTCTTCCTGATACACTGTTACCATCACCATTTTTCCAGGAGCCAAGATAAAGTCATCAGGAGAGAGTGCTGGCAGCGCCACACTGGTAATTAAGCCCCAGACTTAATTAAAGCTGTCGTAGGTGGCAGTGAGGGCAGAATATAAAAAGCTTAGTGCAGATCAGAGAGGGTCTCCCTTTGGCTAATTAATCAGTGTTCTGCAGTTGGCCCAGAACACTCATGACTAACCAGAGTCCCTAGTCATGAGAGGGGCAGCTGGAGGTCATTTCTCTGTCTCCTGCTCCTAGACCAGGCCATGCTGAGGACATTTGCTGGTTGAGTTTTAAACTTCCCAGGAAAAAGGATGCCACATCTTCTTTTACCTCTTTTTAGTCACTGTTAAGATAATCTGCCTTGGGCCCAAGTTCCTTCCTGTTGCAAAATAAAACAAAGTTCTACTGCATTTCCTTCCAATCTAATCTCTTCTGGGATAAACACCTAAATGCTTTAAATTTTCAGCAAGCGGTTGATTTTCCAGCCTTTTTTCATTATAGATCTTCTCCTCCAATGGCCCAAGTTTTTCTTCTAGTCAGCTACCATCCCACTCTGGCTTTTACCTTGTTGCTAAGTTACTTTAAGTTGGTTTTTGAATGACCAGCTTTGGATTTCCTGTTCTCCCAATAATGGAGGAAATAAAATGGAATAAGCAATGCTAAGACAATCACTTAAAATGGAGTCAGGAGGTCATTAAAGAGGTGGGGGTCTATGCATGTCTCATGCCTCAGTGCTTGGAATTATTGTTAAGTTGCTGATCTGTTGCTAAACTCAGCTCAAGGCCCAACGACAAACATCCTGGATCAATGATTGCTACAAGGACACGTATGGACTTTGCTTCCTCCTCATCATGGTGACCAGACCATCCACATTCTTCACCTTTAAACTGTCAGGAAGTGGGGGTAATTCTATGATTGGGGATTTTAATAATTCTTATCTAGAAGGAGGGAAGACTTGATTGAGGTTAGAGTAGTCTTTAGTAAAAAGCAATAGTCTCTTATATGAGCCAGGATAGGGGACTGGTTGGTCCTTTTTGTGGTTTGGACAATGTTCTCGTGTTGTCTGTGTTCAGATGTGATTACGGTGTGGTCTTATTTGTATCTTGATCCATCAGGGTCACAGAGTGGCCTTGTCTGAGGTGGATTTGTGAAATTGTTTATGTTCAGCCAGGGAACACCAAGGTCCAGCTCCCAGCTATCAGGGGCTGCTTTTCTTTTTTATATACCAACATGTGCTGATGTCTCCTCTGGGCTGGGTGCTAGGTATATACAAATGATTTGTCTTTATGTCTTTAGAAACCTCCTGGTTGGTGGGGAAAGTGGACAAGAAAACATATATACCATCGGAAAGCACTATAGTTAAGGCCCTGGGCTTTGGACACAGGTTATGAACTCGAAGTCCCAAATCTACCACTTACTGTGAAATCTTGTGCAATGACTATTCGCTAAGCCTCAGTTTCCTCATCTGTAAATGGGGATAACAACAGTACTATCTACATTCTAGAGTGGATGCAAATGTACCAAAAAAAGGGGTTTTATGGGAAGTAGCCTCACAGGGTGATCTGACCATAAATTCCTAACTGGGCAGGTCATGGTGGGCAGTCCCGCCCCAGGCCTGTAACTTCTTTAGTGAAAGGTTTTAAGCCAGCCCTGTCTATTGTTTTTGTGCATCTAGGTTAACACACCTTTGAAATGCCAGAATACCTCTAGAAGGGGGTATTAACCCCCAAGAGAGCACATGACCTTGTTAACTAGCATGTTACCCATCCCTGCCTTGCTTTCTCCCACCTCCTCTTCCTTACTTTGCTTCCTTAATTTCAAATGTATAAAAACCGTAAAACTGTTATTCTCTGGAGCATTTGAGATCTTGCTTCCCAGCATATGTCATCAGTTTGGCTAAAATAAACTTATGAAAATTCTCTACAGGTTTGGACATTTCTTATGTCGACACAAGGATTAAATGAGCTTACCCATGGATCACTTAAATGGCTTGGATTTGATAGAGGGCAGAGGTGAATCCAGGTTTTGTGGGGCTAGAAACTTATACAATTTGGGGGACCCTCTTTAAGAAAAAGAAATTTAAAATATCTTACTGTTTCAGAATTTGCATAACATATGACTGTGTGAACACATTGCAAAATATCCCCCCACACACCCCCTGCCACACTCCAGAGCCTCAGAAGGGACTCTGAAGCTTATCTTAATTAGCTTTCCCATAAGTCTCTGAGAAAAAGCAAAATTCTGAAATAGTCTTTATTTTCCAATCACAACCTTCAAACAAGCTCTCCTAAAATATCCCATCTGGGTGTGAAACCAACTCGAGAACTCTTAGTTCTTTCTTGTATTACAGCCTGGAAGTTAGTAGACAATGGGCTAGTGATGGAGGAATTGACTTGCGTCCTGCTCTAATATAGTTGCACTGTCTGATGGTGAGGCAAAGGTGTAATGGCCACTATAATGAGACGTTATCTTCAGACTGAAAGATGAAGCAGGCAATTCCATAGAATATAACATAATTTATTATAGGGTAATTTCCTTACAGGAAGATTGGACAGGAGCAGACGAAGCAGACAAAGCACCCAGCAGTTCTGCACAAATTTTCTCCACTACAGACTCCTGTTATCATACTGTTTTTGTAATATAACTCAGATACTAATGATTGACAAGACAAAAAGGAACAAAGCATGTAGTGGTGCCAGGAGCCATACCTCCTGGTGGTCAATACTATCTCCAGTTGAATATTCATCTCAGTTGTCCTGGCCATTACTAACAAAAGTATTTATGGTTACATTTTAGGGAACACAGATAATCATTAACTAGAAGGTTTTGCTATGCTTACTAAGGATGGTGAGGTTGGTCAAAGGTCATAGCATGATCAGACACAAAGATGGAGATGGTTTTTGTTCACATCTACATCTGTACACGCACCTACTGTTTTCAGCATTGAGACCCAGCTGGAGTCCAGATGAATCCTCTTTTAGCATCCTACTAACAGGTAAAGTATATGCTTAATAAAGGTCAAGAATAGTAACTGTCTTTCTCAATTATTGTTACTTAACATTTTCAATCCTGCCATGCCCTGTCACGCTCCATGCCTTTGCAAGTGCTGTCTCCTCTGGCAACACAGGTGCTTGAGTCCATTGTGGTCCATCAGTGTCACCTTCACTCCCTCCCTGCCACCCTCCACCTGAGGAACTCTAGCCACCAGTGTCCGGCACTGGCAAGAATCATGTTTGTGCCATGTACTTGGGATACCTGATCTCATTCAGTTGGCACAATGATTTTGAGACATCGGTAGTGTCATTCCCAGTTTGCAGGTCAGGAAACCGAGGTTCAGAGACCAGGTGACTAGCCCAAGGTATTAGAGTTAATGACTGGCAAAAGCAGGATCAAAACCCACATCTACCTGTCTGCTGTCACACCTTGATGCCTGGCTGGAGGGAAAGGATAGAAATTGGGGTCTCTCAGCCTGCTCCCACATTCCCCCTCCGTCAGACCTAACTTTACAACTGAAGGCACATCGCCCACGGAGGTTGCCAGAGCCCCATCTTGGAGGACGAGGAACTACCTACAGAGCACAGAGGAAGGAGGCCAGGCTGAGGGAGCGTCCTGCAAAGGGAGGGGCCGGACATCTTGACCACGCCCACCTAGGAGGGGAAAACTGGTGAGGACATTATTACTCTTTCTACTTTAGGGCTCCTTCCCATTTCTTCAGGAGCTTACTTGGCCTTGGCAATGGCCTGCTTCCCAGAATCTCTCATCAAAAATGATTCTTGGAGACTAGGCCAGCTCAGGGCAGCCCAGAGGCCAAGGAAGGCCTGAATTCCCACTCTTAATCTTTTTTTCCTGGCTCCCAGCCTTGTCATCAATCCCATCAAATGCCTGGAAAAGGCTCCCCAGCCTAAAGAACATGAGCTGGCTTGGAAGAGACCAAGTTCTCAACAGGTTTGGGAAAATGGGGGTGGGGTGGGCGTGGAACCCTACTGACAATGCCCTGTGAATCCCTACTTAAAATCCTTCTAGGACTGCTCTCAGCCTCCACAATAAAGGTTGCAGTTCTTATCAGAAGCCCAGATCTGGATCAATTTCCTTCGGCCAGTCAGATTCACTCCTCTTTCTCATCCGAAGTGACCAGTCGTCCCTAGACAGGCGCGCACTCAGCCACTTGTATGCGCTTGCTTGTGCCGTTTCCGTTTGCTTGTGCCGTTTCCGCTTGCTTGTGCCGTTTCCGCTTGCTTGTGCCGTTTCCGCTTGCTTGTGCTGCATCTTTCCTGTCTGCTTCCCGTCCAGTCTTCCAAACCCAGCAGAGATGGCACTTTCTCCGGGAAATCCTTCCTAGCTGAATCCCTAACACTCATGGACGTTTCCACGACGGCACACATAACAGTGCCTTGGAACAACCTGTGTGCAGGTCAGCCTCCCGACATGGCCACGGACTCCTTGAGGGCACGGATGCCATCTTATTTGTCTCTGTGGGCCTACTAGGGCGCCTGGCACAGTGAGTGTTGGTTAAAAGAATTAGTGAATGAGTAACAGGCACCCAGAGCAGGGGTTGCAAACACGAATGCCTTCAGGGTCCAAGCAAGTCAGGTAAACTGGTGTAAGACAATAGGGGGCAGGAGGGATTGTGGCAAAGGAATTCGTATGTCATTCAAGAAAATAGGAGGGTGGAATTCAGCCTCTGTTAAAAACCATAATAATAAAAAAATAATAGCTAATAGTTATTTTAAACTTACTCTGCGCCAGGAGATAAGGTGCAGTGATTCCCAGTGTGGGTTTGAAATGGGCTGCTGGGTTTGAGTCCCGGCTCTCCTGCCTGTTAGCCGTGAGACTCTGGTCACTTACCCTCTTTGAGCCTCTGTTTCCTCACTTGCAAAATGGAAATAATAATAATAATACCTATCTTATAGGGTTGTTTTGAGGATTCAAAGAGTGAATACATGGAAAGTACATAAAAGGGTGCCTGACACATGGAAAACATGCTAGCTATTATTATCCCTTGATGGCGAGTGTTCAGAGAAGGCCTCTCTGAGAAGGCTACTTATAAACTGAGCCCTAGATGTCAATAAGGAGCCACCCATGCTGGGTTCTGGGAGAAGAATGTTCCATGCAGAGGGAACAGCCCGGGGAAAGGTCCTACGGTGGGAACCCCTTTGCTGGGTCTGAGGAATAGAAAGAAGGCAGTGGGCTTGGAGCACAGTGAGCCGGGAATGGAGACAGGAGACAAGGTCTGGGGGGCAGGCAGGCGCCAGGTCATGGAGGGCCTTCTGGGCCGTGGAAAGGAGCCTGGATTTTATCCTGTGTGATGGGAGCCACTGGGGAGTTTGTTTTAAAATATAGGTTTTATTATTATTTCAGTTTTATTATAATTTATTATTATTATTTCAGACCACAGAGCAGAAGACAACTGCCATTGAAAAAACAATTTGCTGTATTTACAGATCCCAAAAGGAGGGGCAAGCCATGCTCCAGGGGAAGCACCTGAGGCATAGGGGCTGTACCCAGTTGTCTGGTACCTGGTCCTGGGGTGAATAGGGCAGAGGGGTAGTCCCCAAGTGTGAGAGTCCAGTACAGGTGGTAGCTATGGGTATGGGCTCTGGATTGATTGGCTTGCATCTAAAAGGCAAGTTCAAGGGTGAGTTGCTTGCTCTCAATCTCGAGGTATTGGCTAGCCCTGGGAGGGGGAGTCCCTCCAGAGTCAGCAAGCCCTGCCCCACCCCACCTTGTCAAAGCATCGAAATACAGAAACTACAAAGACATGGCTAATACAGAGTTACAGCCAAGGAGGGATGGGGTTTACATTTTAACAAACCCTCTGGCTGCTGTGAGGAGATAGTCTTTTGGTGAGACAAAAGGAATCAGAGGCCAGAGGCCAGCCCAGATGAGCCAATGATGATGGCCTGGACTAGGCTGGGAGCAGGGGCAGTGGGAGGCAAGCTAGGGTCAGGGTTTGTTTGGAGGTGGAGGCAACAGGACCTGGTGGACATCTGATGAGGATGCCGTTTGCATTACAAGAAGCAACTTGAGGCTCATCCTGTTTTTATCTCTGGGATTCATGCCTATGTTTCCTCCCCCAGTTACTGGACTGTACTATCATCTCACTCTTCTGATGTTAATGGCATAGGAAAGGCATTCTAGGAAATGGCACTTTCAGATTAGAGATAGAAATAGTGTCCATCATAGTGCCTGGCACATAGTAGATACTCAACAAATTGACAGCCTTGTCTTTTATAAGGGAAAGTAGAAAATCCAGCAGGTCTGATATCAGACAGATCATGCTTTGGTCCCCATTCTACCACCCACTAGCTGGGTGACCCAAATGTGCGATTTCACCTCTTTGCATCTCCCTTCCCTAATTTGGAAGCAGAGATAAGGGCACCTAGCTCTTCCGGTGGTCTTGGGGATTACATGATGCGATGTATGTGAGAGGTCCAGCCTTTGCAGAGGCTCCATCAACTACGACCGTAATTATGACATCTTAAGGAGTGTCAGTCTAGACCAGGCTCCCGAGGTGGGGCTGGGACTCCCGGAGAAATGGAACTGAGCCCCTGAATCTCTGAATCTCCTCCTCGGAGCCCACCTCGGGGCCTGATCCCTGCCCCAGCTCTTACCCCTCTGCTCGGCATCTCCTCAAAGGACCAACAGAAAGCTGTGTTTACTCTGCCAAGTGGCATCCTGGGGGAGGGAGGAAAGGAGAAATAAATCTTCATGCCTCAGCTTTGGAAAGCAGGCTGATAATTATCGGCCTGCTGCTAAGGTAAACGTTTGCCAAACTGGCCCCATTGACTAACCCCTTGGCCCCCAGGGCTGAGGTGAAGTTGTCTGGGTGTGTTGCTCTGATGGGAGGGGGGGGGCGGTCTGGGAACTTAGGGGAGGCTGGCATGGCTTCTGAAGCTTTCAGAGAAGATCTCATTCAGGTTGAAACACTCAGGAGGATGGAACAGAATGACTTCAAGACCAGGGTTTGAAATGTACTCTACTTGGCCTGTCCAGTCCTGCTGTCCCCCAGACTTCTGTTCTAGGAATACAGGCCCCAAAGGAGTGACCAGAGCTGAAAGCTCCCTGCAGTTTCAGTCCTGTGAGGGGTTGGACCAGCAACGCCTGCTCACCTCGATCCCCTCTGGCTTTCTCTAGACAACAGAAACCCACCCTACAGGAGGCAGAAACCCACCTGCCAGGGAAGGGGAGCCCAGATTCTGGGCCATGTCTAGGTGTGGCTGGTTAGAAGGTAGCCTTGGGCTGACTATAATTACTCATATGTGTGCACACCTGTACAGTTTGCCAAGCACGTTCCACATGTTCTGTTATTCAACCAGCTCCACAATAAGCCTTTGAAGCAGGAATTAGCTCCCTGTGATGCAGTGGTTAAAAATCCAGGCTCTGTTACTGGCTGTGTAGCCTTGGGGCAATCATTTCACCTCTAAGAATTTTGCTGTGAGGCTTAAATGAAATCAGGGATCTAAAGATCTCAATCGTGCCTGGCTCAGGGTCAGCAAATTTGTCAGCCCCTCCCTTAAATTCCCCATTTTACAGAAGAGAAAAATGAGGCTCAGTGAGCTATCAAACATACTTTTCTAAATATCCAAAAAAATTATCACAAAAATGCGTAGTGAGCAGGCGTCAAAGTTGTATTTCACTCATTCATGAGGAAACTGTCAAGATGAGAAAAGCAGTTTCGATGGACTGACTGATTGTAGGGAAAGGGCCAGGAGAGCAGTTTCCAGGCTCTTGGCCTTGCTTACAAGGTCACTGGCTTGTTCCCATGCCCGCTCAGACCAGCTGGATGTCCCCCCTTATGTAACCAGCTGGCTGTAAGCCCCTTTGTTCTGCATGCTATTTAACTGTCAGGGTTGCCCCAGTGGGTGGGGATGCTGTGCCTATGTCTCAACCAGCCGCCTGGAGAATATACCTGTGGTGTGAACCCCTTACCTGTGGCTCCATTGTCTTTTTTTGGCCCCATGGAATCCAAGAACCTGCCAGGAGTCGAGCTCCTACGTTACACTGATATAGTCAAAGAAACACAAAGAATGCTGGAATAAGATTACTAGTCAGATTCCAACAGTGAAAGTCCTACAGCACATGACCTGTATATAAATTTTGGGTTTTAACCTATAATCTCTACTGGTCAGAAATCATTTATATCACTATTAGACAAAAATAATTTGTATTTCACCTGTTTTCTGCAAATTAGCAACTTAGTTCTCAGACTTATAAAATGTCTGGGCCCGAACACACAGGGAGTTATCACATGACCTTTGGGGGCTTGTAGATAATGTCCCAGTGGACTGATGAAGGTCACACAGTCTCCTCCTTGCCTCACTTCCAAGTTTTGTATACTTTTCCTTAACAAAGTCAAGTGTTGAAAGGATGGGAAAGGACAAGTCAGAAGGACTGACTTGAATTGTGTCAGGGTTACTTCTCAGTAAGAATTCCAGAATCTTTGCTCTGGAAAGCTAGTCCTGCTACCACGCTAGGCTGATGATAAGAAATTGAAGGCCCAGGGGTGGCTGGTTAGCTCAGTTGGTTAGAACGCAGTGCTCATAACACCAATGTTGCCGGTTCGATCCCTGCATGGGTCACTGAACTGAGCCCTCCACGACCAGATTGAAACAACTACTTTACTTGGAGTTGATAGGTCCTGGAAAAACACACTGTTTCCCGGTAAAAAAAAAAAAAAAAAAAAAAAAAAAAAAAAAAAAAAAAGCAAGCAAGCAAGCAAGCAAGAAAGAAAGAAGAGAAATTGAAGGCCCAGAAAAGGGTGACTTGTCCGAGGTCACACACCATGCCTGCGGGAGGAGCAGAGGCCAGAATTGCTTCCCCCACTCCCATCCCCTGGTCCCCTGGGCTGTTCCCCTGGCCCTCTCCCAGGTGGGGTGCAGGTGTGAGTTATCCACTATGGCCAGGAACTGCTCTGCATCCGCGTGGCACTGAGGAGGCACTCACTTTAGCTGAAGCTTGAGTTATATCACAGGGTCCTGAGGGGATTCACCATGGTTTGGGGTTATCTGTGTTCAACCAAAGGAAAGCTGAAACCCCAGAGGCTCCCAGAGCCTCCAGCCTACTGCACTGGTTAATTCTGCAGTGAGACACCCAGACAGCTCAGAGCTGAAGGAACAAACAGCAGCAGACAAGCAGCAGCAGATGGGTTTCCACGGTGATGGCCCACTGGAGCTCCAAGTGTCTTTTTTCTTACTGAACAGACATGGTGCAGCAGGAAGAACATGGGTGCAGGAGGGAAAAACCAAGTCCTGGTCCTGATCTACCCCAGGTGGAAGCTTGCTGTCCCTTGGGCAAGTCACCTCACCTCCTTCTGGGAATGAGGAGGAATAGAGGATACCTTTTGCTAGTTTCCTGCTCTCATTTAATCTTCTTTCCAGCAAAACTTTGAGGAAGGAGCTATTATCAGCATTTTACAGATGAGGAAACAGAAGCACAGAATGGTGAAGTAACTTGTACAGGAACACACAGCTCATTAAGAGCACCTGAGCTGTGCTCTTAACCACACAGCACTACAAGTGCTCAGACCCTTTTCTTTTGGAGGACTAGATGCATTTCTTCTGGAGAGTTCAGGCCCATCCCAGAAAAGAAAGAGTGGGAGGGAAGCAGAATCAGGGTACAAAGAGGGAACACTTCAGATCAAACACAATGATGTTAGCCTCCATTTTCTGCCTGGGCACGTTGGCCACTAGGACACCTGGCATGTCAGGCAGGAAGCAATCCCAGGCAGTGTGACACCACCATGCCATGAAACAAACACTGCAGTGCTCAGAGCTCTGGGATGCCATCCAGAGCAACTCCTTGTCCTCAAACCCACATAAAGGCCTGTTTCAAGCCTGCCCTGCAGGAAACAAGTCTTCTGCCTCCTCCCAGAAGCCTCACCACACTAAACCAGAGCCCAGGCTGCCCCCTCCTCCTCCTCTCCCTCTTCCTGCTGCTGTCCTCTCTCTCCTACCCTGTCCTACACCCATCACCCCAAAGTGTTGACTTCTATCCCACTGATCAGAGCCCAGGTACAGGAAGGGAACCGCTAGTGGCTTTGAGGAGCCCTGAGGAGCCCGATGGAGGCCCAGAGCCCTTGGCAGAGACCAGAGATGTTTGTTTGTTTGTTTATTTTTATCCTTATCCTTTTTTTTTTCTTTCTTTCTTTTTAGCTGAGCCATCCTGCCACCTGTTGGTAGCTCAGTGGCAGCTCAGCTCAGGCTGGGAATCGAACAGGCGACCCTGTTGCTCAGAGCTCGCACTCTTGATCGAGCTCTTAACCAACTGAGCTACTCAGCCAGGCCCAGAGATGTATTTTAGAATGAGCCCAGCTCAGTCCTCCCTGTCACAGTGCCCTGCCTTTTCGTCCTCCCTCCAAGCCCCAGGGCAACTGTGTGAATGGCATTCCAGACAGGCCCAGGCCTCGGCTAGCCTGAAAGCCCCCCTTGCAGGAACGAAGGTAGGAGAGGGCTTGTATGAGTACTTGTGTGGGCATGGGCCTGAGCCAGCCAGGAGGCCCAGTGCTGGGGGTGGGGAAGAGGGTCAGGTGTCGTCCCCCCCAAGACCCTCACTAGTTGGCCTTGGCTCCCTAGCCCTCCTAACTTTGCCCATTCATCCATTCATTCATTCATTCATTCATTCATTCATTCATTCATTCAACAAGCATTTGTTGGACATTATTACGTCGGCGCTGGGGAAGCAATAGATGAATGAGACACAGTTCCCAGAGTGAGAACCAAACTCCTGACCTTCCCCCAATTGGCTTCCCTCTGGTCTTTCCCATCTCGGTTGATGGCAGCTCCACCCTGCCTATGGCTCAGGCCAAACCTCACATCCAGCCCATCAGCAACTGTCCTTTTGCCTTGGCTCAAAATGTATCCAGAATCCAACTACATCTCGCCCTTTTTACCTCTGCCACCCTGGTCCACGCCACCACCATGGCTCACCTGTGTGGCTCACCTGGCCCAACACGGCTCCTGCTTCTGTCTCTGCTCCACGCTAACCTCTTTCCTGGCATCTTAGTGGTGCTGTGAAAACAAGGCCAGGTCATAACTTGAACGCAACAGGCACACTCCCCTCTCCTGGAGCCTGTACCTTGGCTGCTCCCTGGCCTGGAATGACCTTCCCCTAAAAATATACTCCACTCACCTTGGTAGGATGGTACTCAAATATCAGCCTTTCAGTGAGGCCAGCCCTGATTGACCCATTTCACATTGCAGCCGCTCCCCTCCTCCATAGCATTTATTGCCAAATAACACAAGATACGTTTATTTATTTGTTGTGTTTATTGCCGATTTCCCCTCCCTAGAACATGAGCCCCATGAGGGCGACATTTTGTCTGCTTTGTTTACTGCCCCTAGAACTGCCTGGACCCCAGTAAGGGTTCATCAAGTAGTTGTAGAATTAATGAATAAATGAATGAGTGAATGAATTAATGAGCGAATCACTTTTGGGGTGACAGACCCATAAAAAAGCTGTCCCGGTCACCACTCCTGCCAGTTCCTGTCTCTTCCCACACAGGCAGCCACAGTGATTGGTCTGAAAAACATTGTGCCCTTCAGGTCCTAAGGTAGGTGTCACGCCTCAGGTGCCTTCTCTGGCCCCTTGGGTTAGGTGCCCCCTCTGTGCACTTCCATGGTCCCCTTTCCCTCCTGTAATTACCTAGTTATACCGGTCTCTCTTTCCCTAGGAAAGTGAATTTGGGAGGCTGGAGGTGTGTCTGTCTCGCTCAGGAGTGGAATAGTGCAGTGGTTAAGGGAATGGACTGCCTGGGTCCAAATCTTGGCTAAGGTGTGGGAATTTAGGCAAATTACTTAAGGCTCCCTGGACCTCGGTTTCCTCATCTGTAAAATGGGAATAATCATAGTGTCTCCTTCATAGCCCCATAGGAGAGGCTTAAATGAGTGAATACACTAGCACTTAGAGCCATGCCTGGCACAGAGTAAGTGTAATTCGAATGTTAGCTATTATTGCTCTTCAATGTTGTACCCCCAGTGCCTGGCACAAAATCTGGCCCATATTTAGTACTCAATAAGTATTTGTTGGATGAGTGAATGAATGTGCCTGGGTGTAGAGGGATGAAGAAATGGCATGAGAACCTAGAGGAGGGCCCTAACCCAGGCTGCGGACAGTCAGGGAGGACTCTTTTGCAGGAAGGGAGCCTTCAGCTGACTCCTGTAGGGTGAGGAGGTTAGCAGAGCAAGAAGGAAGGACGGCACACACGCAGGAGCAGCAAACAGCATGTGCAAAGGCCTCTCGTCATATGAGAGAAACTGATGCACGCGGGGAATGTCAGTCCATCACTCAGGGACTGACCCTGTAGTGCGAAGAGGCCAGATTTCCCTCTTTGTTGGCCATTTTGAGGACATTCTTGGGTGTAATGACAAGATAAAAATTCTGAGATGTTCTAAATTAAAATATAGTGGTGGGAGAGTGAGAGAAAGGAACAGAACAGTTAGCCTTTTAATAGCTGTGGAACAGCTCTGACAAAGCTGCTCTCAGGGGCAGCCGGTTAGCTCAGGTGGTTAGAGCGCAGGCTCATAACACCAAGGTTGCCGGTTAGATCCCCACATGGGCCACTGAGCTGTGCCCTCCACAACTAAATTGAAACAAGTACTTGACTTGGAGCTGATGGGTCCTGGAAAAACACACTGTTCCCCAATAAAATTAAAAGTCAAACAAACAAACAAGAAACTGCTCTCATTCCTGTATATTTGTTGGAATTTAAGATTAATTTCCAGGTGACTATTTCTGTGATTATTGAACCCCAGGAGCCTCTGCCATCCTGACCCCCAGGAGCCTCCATTTCGTATTTACACATGAACTTCCCAGTCTGCGGCCCACAGCCAATCCACCGGAGCAGACACTTCTTCCTTGCGGACTTGGCTGTTCCTATCCCAGAACTGGCCCCCTTCACCTCCTGTGCTCTGTCTATAGCTAATGTAAAACCTTTCAGAATGGCTTATACCTTTCTCCCCACTACTCGATGTATAAAACACTTGCAGGGCCGGCCGAGTGGCGTGTTGGTTAAGAGTTGGCTTGGGATGCCAGCTCTGAGCATCAGGGCCCCGGTTCAGATCCCACATGAGGGCCAGTGACGCTGTGCCCTCTATAGCTAAGATGGTGAATAACAGCTCGACCTGGAGCTGGGCTGCTGTGAGTCCTCTGTTACGGCGTAGGCTGCAGCGGGGCTGCCGTTAGCGGCCATCCAATGGCCGTCGAGAGACTGCCTCACCCAGGAAGAACGCAATGATGATACCAACATGGGCCAGTGAAGTGACGTCCTCCACAACTAGACTGAAAAACAAAAGGACAGCAACCTGTCTGTTCCCCTTCCCCGATTCCCCAACACTGTTCCCCTCCCCCAATTCCCCAAAAAAATCTTTAGAAAACAACAACAACAAAAAAAACACTTGCAAAACTCCAGCATGACAGACATGTTATGTTTCCTGTCTATCCATGTGTGGTCTAGACTCCATGCCCCAAGACCAGTCTCTTTTTTTGCTAGTGATGGCCTAATAAACCCTTTCTTTCAAAAAGAATTTCAACTGTGGAAGTTAAATTATTGTTTTGTTTTGTTTGTTTTTTTGTTTTTGGTTTTTTAGCTGGTTGGCAGCTCAGCGGCAGCTCAGCTTGGGCTGGGAATCCAACCGGCGACCCTGTTGCTCAGAGCTCACACTCTTGAGTGAGCTCTTAACCAACTGAGCCACTCGGCCAGCCCTTAAATCTTTTTTAACAGTATGAACTGTGCCCCCTGCCCCCTCAGACTGGCTGCCCACCGAGGGCAAAACACTCCCACAGTACAGTGGCTCCCTCATCAGCTCAGCAGTGCTCTGAGATCAGGGGAAGGCAAGCAAGAAAAGGAGGCTGCCACTCTTGTTGAAGGACCCCCATGGGATAGGCCTGGATTTAACCTGGCAACGTCTCATGGTGGATATCATTATCCCCTTTCCAGAGATGAAAGGACAAAGGCAGAGTTCACGCCAGTTTTGCCCGGTTCCCTGTGGCCTTCCTTGTCAGACTGGGGCTCTTTGCAGCCAGGGTCTGTCTCTCCCCCATCACCCCAGTGATTCCTCAGTGGGTGACATTGCCTATTCTTGACTCCCCACACAGAGCACAGACCAAGGAACTGAGCAAGGGAACCCTCCCAATGAGCGTGGACTAATGGAGAGTCAAGTTCAACCCCAGGAAGCTCTTACCATACGGATCAGAACACACATGAAGACCTTCCCTGCAGAGCTCCAGGCAAGGGCAGGCCTGTGTGCTTGAATGAGAGGTGCCAGGTGTGGGCCCAAAAAGGTTGGAGCTGGATGACATGGGCGGGGTGGGGTGAGGGGCTGCTGAAGGAAGAAGGGCCAATCCTGGAAATAGTCAAGAGCACCTTACCTAATACCACTCCCTACCAGTTGCTTAACTCCTCAATTATCTCATCTGATTTGTAGACGCCCACACTCAGTCCCTCCAGCTGAGGTGACCAATAGGAAGCTCTAAGGATTAGGGTCAGGAGCTCAGGGTTCAAACCCTCACCCTGCCACTTCTTAGCTGAGTCACCTTAGAAAAATAACATCCCCTCTCTGAGCTTCACTTGTCTCATCTGTAAAAACCGACAGTGATAAACCTCTGCCTTGAAGGGTTGATGTGAGAATTCAGAGACAAGCTGTAATAGCTTGTGGCAACCTGTGAGGCGTGGTTCTTCCTGCTTATTATTACTAGCAATCAAGGATACAGGTTTGGAGAGGGTTAAGTGGAGACCCTGCCTCCCAGCCAGGAGCGAATCAGGGCTGGCAGGGGAGGAGCCAGGCTGCCTCTAGGAGAGAGATCTAGACTGGCCAGATGTTGCTTGGAGAGGGATCGGAGAAGACAGCAACAGGACTTGTAGGCCATGGGGCAGGGGCTTAGCACAGGATCCCTGGCCTCTGCATCGTGATAACGCCAAGCCAGAGCGTGCAGGGACAGCTTCTAGGGGTTGGGGGAGGAGGGGCCGAGCTGCCTGAGCTGGGGACAGCGGCAGGGTGGGAGAGGACCAGGATCAAGAGCCCTCCCTGCACCCCAGGCAAGGGACACCAGCTGCACCCAAGCCTTGACCTCAGCCGACCCTGATAGCCCACATAGAGCACAGGGTCTAATTTTAGCTGAGCCACAGGGCCAGCAGCCCAGGAGTGCCTGTCAGGGCGAACAGGGGTGGCCAGGGCACCTCTGGGGCTGCTCAGGCAAGAGGATTGGGGAGACCACCCCTGCTCCTTCCAGCCCTGCACCCTGGCCAAACTGCCTCCTATGGGAGCCCTAACGGGTCCCCCATGGCCTGGCAGACAGTCCTCCTCTCCATTGAGGGCTGGGTCAGGGGGTGCAGCCATGAGGGCAGAAGGCCACAGCCTAGCAGTCAGGACAGGGGTTGCATCAGCCTGAATAGTGCTCAGGGGCGGGAGGCCCTGCTGGTTGTCCAAAGGCCGAGGAAGCGGAGTCCTGACCACAGGAAGCCAAGGCCAGAAAGCTGGTCCTCCCCAGCCTCCTTGTGCCTGGTTGGTGACTCGCTGTTTGACCTTACACAGGCAGCCTGCTCTTGATGGGCCTCGGTCTTCCCATCTATACAATGTGGGTGCTGAACTAGTAGGTTGATCCCTGCTCCAGCGATCCACCCTCAGGTCCCCAACTCCTGCTTCCCCCAGCCTTGGCTGTGGGTGGCCACATGCAGCCGTGGAGAAGGAAGGCCCTCTGGCTGGCACTGTTGGCCTCCTGGCTCCTCGGCCTCCTGGGAGTCTTTCCCCTTCTCCACCTGGCAGTGCCGGCCAGACCTCGGGCAGGGGCCCCCAAAGGCTGGCCCCGCTGGCTGGATGCAGAGCTCCTGCAGAGTTTCTCCCAGCCTGTGGAGCTCCCAGAAGATGCCCTTCAACCTCCTCTAGCCCCCCGTAGTGGCCACTGCAACTGGGGAGCTTGCTTTGACACCTCGAAGTGCAGGGGTGGTGGCTTCAAGGTCTTCGTGTACCCAGCGGCTGAACCCGTCTCTGAGACTCAGCGCAGGATCCTGGCTTCCGTTGAGGGGTCCCGCTACCACACATTCAGCCCTGCCGAAGCCTGCCTCCTCCTCCTCCTCAGCCTGGATGCCCCTGCTGGAGAGTGCATCCCGGTGCCCCCACAATGGAATGGGGGCAAGAACCATCTGGTCCTCCGGCTCCACTCAGCCTCCTGCTCCCAGACCATCCAGCTGGGACAGGCGATGGTGGCCGAGGCCAGCCCCATAATGGACACCTTCCGGCCTGGCTTCGATGTGGCCCTCCCGCTTCTCCCTGAAGCCCACCCGTTGCGAGGTGGGGCTCCTGGCCAGCTGCGGCAGCACAGCCCCCACCCCAGGGTGGCCCTGCTGGCCCTGGCAGAGGAGAGGGGCGGGTGGCGCATGGCAGGCACCAACTCTTCTGCTTGCCTCTGGGATGGGCGCTGTGAACAGGACCATGGACCCGAGCAGTAAGTGGACCTTTCCCCTCAGGGGCTGGACGGGTGGGGTCTGAGATGGGAGTGGGCCCAGAGGCCAGGGTGGAGGGCAGGATTGAGATGGGAGAACCCCTAGACTCCTGACCAATTTAGGTCTCAGCTACAGCAGGACGGAGTCAAGTTAGACAGTAGAGAATAATACCACCAAGACGGTGATTTGCCATAAGGGGTGTCCAAGACAGGTTTGGAGTTCTCCCTTAAAGATCTTTGAAAATATAAAACTGGACTCACTCCTATTTCCTCTTTTTCTCTTATTCCAATCCCTCCTTCCCTAATATTTTATTTAATATACACTTCTATAGTGTTTGCTCTGTGCTAAGCACTTTCATAAATAATGATTTTAATAAGATGATACTAATTGCTATTAAGTGTTTGTGTACCAGACACTGAAGTTCAGAAAGGTTAAGTAACTTGTTTGAGGCCACCCAGCCAGAAAGAGCACAGCCAGTATTTTAATGCAGAATTGCGTTTCCAAAGCCTTCAGCATTAGAAGTCTGAGTTTCGAGGAAGAGTTTATGATCAGCCCCATCAAATGTCTCAGAGCCGTGGAGATTAATAATTGGTCACAGATGGAAGCTGCTCCTATGCCTAATTTGGGGGATTTAACCTCTCAAGGAAACAGCCTTTGGTTACAGCAAATATGAATTAGGTGAGACCTACAGAAGAACTTACTGCCAGTGAGAGTCCTGAATACATACAAGGGGGACTGGAGCCTATGGGACATGGAGAGCTCATTTAGAAACTTCTCTGCCTGGGCTAGTTGGGCTGACATACCTCAGGTGATAAAGCAGTTAATCCCTCTGCACCCACAGGAGGCCAGCAGTATCCAGAAGGAGTACGAGCAGGCAAGGATGAAAGTCCTTTTGAGGTTGTCCAGGGCCCCCACAGCAGAGGTTTCCCTCTCCATGTCCTGGAGCAATCCTGAATTGGAACCTGTCACTCTGGCCTCCTTCCCTTGCTCCCACCCTCAGGCACTTCCCTGTTCTCTGCTGGAACAACATGGACTATTCTGAGCTCCACTCCCCTCCCGGGAATTCTTCACGTGGCGTTGCTCCATTTTTGCCTCTGCTTGGGGCTTTTGGGGCTTCTCTCAGCCAAAGGGCTCTTGTGGGAATGGAATCCCTCTACCTCCTGAAAGCACATGGCCTCCAGGGAGCCCTGAGGCCAGGGATAAGAGAAGAATTGTCCCAGTCAGCTTCCAAGGCCCTTCTGCCAGGACCCATCCCTAACGGGCATCCTCAGCCCAGGCACCTCAAGCTCAGAGCTCAGAGAGAACTCACCTTTGGTGACAAGGTTCTCCGCTCGCCAGGTAGCGCATCACTTTTCTGACCCTTAGCTATTCTTGCTTACAGGAAGTTCTTCTTTCAGCTGACTTGAGTTACTGCTAAATGTAATTGGCTATTGGTGAATCTGAAAGCTATTGCAGCCTGAACCTCTTTGAGAAACTGAAAGTTAGGGAGCTGCACACGGTAGGTAGGTGCTCACTAAATGTTTGCTGACTGATCTAAAATCGGCCAAAACTGGCCAAGGTTTTCTAATCAATGTGGCCGCCCTCTAAGTAGCATTTTTGATAAGTTTATTTCCAAGGTGTGATACCTGGCAGGCTCTCATTGTCCTCTGAACGTCAAGAAGTTCTGTCTTTGGCTTCGGCCCACCTGCAGGCAACAGGACTAGTAATCGCTGGGGGGTAGCTTGAGCCTTAGTTTCCCTGAAGTGCCAGGCAGCTGCCTGAGTGAACCAGGGATAGAGCGAGAGAGGGAGGGAGGCCTACAGCCACAGGGCCAGCCCCTGGAAGGTGGCCTGAATAAACAACTGCTGGCCAGAGAAAGAGGCAATTCAGTCCCCACCACTGTCCCACATTCACTCAGCTGGCAGGAGAGGGGGGAGGGGAGGAAGCGAACATTTGGGGAGAGCTTGCTCTGGGTAGGGTGCTGTGCAGCCACCTTACATAAGTCATGGCTAATCCTCTGGAGCACCCTGCAAGGGTGGTATTAGTATCCCCATTTCAGAGAACAGGAAATTGAGGGTCAGAGAGGTGGAGGGAGCCAGCCAAGGGGCTTTGGTAACAAGCCCCTTGATTCACCACGGCCTCCCTCCATGTTTCTGATCCAGCACTTGGCAGCAGCAGAGGTGGGATTAAACCCTGCACTCCTGGCTCCAAAGCCCATGGTTTCCCACCTTCGTTGAACAGTCTCCTGTTGCTTTGGAATCAGCCTCCACCCATTTAAATTGTTATTTATTTATTTTTATGAATAGGGAATTCATTCACATGGTACAAAATTCCAAAGGCACAAAAGGGGGTACAGTAAAAACTCCCTCCCACCCTTTCTCCGGCCACCCGGTTTTCCTTCCTGGAGCCAAACACCACTTCCAGTTTCTCTCGTGTGTTTTCTGAGGTCCCCTGTGTGTGTACAAGCCATGTGTACACATGTTCTCCCAGGTTTTTGTTTACATAAATTCAGTGCACGTTTTAAAGTCCCCTGGGCACAGGAGGTGCAGTGCCTAGGGTCCATGACACTTTTAGGGGCCCATGAAAATATTTTTGCTTCTTTGAAAATCAGGAGGGGGAAAAAAGTGAATTTTTAGGTAGAAGAAAATGTTTTCATATATAATATTGTTCATTTTTATGAGGACACAGTTATGAAATAGAATTTTTATAATTGTTTTGTGGCAAAGGGGCCACAAAGGCCAAAGTGCCTAGGGCATGTGGAAGGAGGTAGAGCCACACTGACTCCAGCCTTGGGCACTGAGGCCCTAACTCCATGGCCGGCAGCTGGCATGGTCACAGAACCCTAAGACTTTATCAGCAGTTACCACGATGACCCCTCTGTAGCACACTCTCTCTTACATACATACATACATAGGTGCTCATCCAGCCTCTGCTTATTTACCTCTACTGATGGGGAACTCACCATCTCCCAAGGCCACCCACTGGCTACTCACAGCCAGCCTCATTACTAGAATTTGTGCTGAAATTGACCTTTCAGACATTGAGTCCTTTGGTCCTGGGTCTATCCTCTCTTGCGCACTGAACACTCATTCCTCCAGCACCCACGGAGTGCCCATTCTTGGCCAGGCAATCTGCTAGGCCCTGGGGATACTGAGACGAGGGAGGCGCAGCCCTGCCCTCAAGTAGTTCTGTCTTGTAAGAGAGACAAACGAGTCACTAGTTACAACACGCATTGTGAAGGAGAGGCTGTGCGGACTGCCTGCCTGGCTCCTGTGCTTCAGAGCTGTGAGACCTTTGTGGGCTTCACTTTCCTCATCTGTAAAATGGGATAATTACAGTCCATACCTCCCATCTCATAGAGTTGCTGTAAGAATGAAGTGAGGCAATACATGTAAAGCACTTGGAACAGTGCTTGGAACAAAGCATGTGCTCGATAAAGGTTAGCTTGGCTCATTACTACTCAGGGCACACAGGGGCTGTGGGAGCAGAGAGGTGGGAGCCATCTCTGGAGAGATCAGGAGGGCTTCCCAGAGGAGGTGATGTTTGAACTTAAACATCAAGACCGAGTAGGAGGAATTTCTCAGGCGGCAAGGCAGGGAAGGGTACTCCAGGCAGAGGTAGGACAATCAGAGACACAGAGGAGGGTACAGTGCAGGCTAATGAGGGCTGAGAGGTACAGTTCATTCATCAGGCTCTTTGTCTCTGGGTTCTCTGAAGCCTTAACCTTAGGCATTTTCAGTCCCTTAAGGTTTTATTGGGGTGGGGGTGGGGCTACAGGTGGCTGGTGCTGTGGCTTTTAATGAGGTGGAGAGTGTCCTGTCGTTTAACTTGTGGCGTCTTCCAGAGAAAGCTGGTGGACACTTGAGCACTACAGAAAGAAGGCAGGGGTCCTCTGGGAGACCCCTAGTCACAGCTCTGAGGTGGTTCAAATAACCCAGGGTCAGGAATTAGCATACTTCGGTTCTAGTTCCAGCAATGCCCAACCCTTTCTGAGACCCTGAGCTAATCCTTGGATCTGAGACTCATTCTCCCCATCTGTTCAATGGGGGTTGGTCCAGAGGCTAAGTACTCCCAGGACTGCTTCTCGAAGGTTCAGACTCAGGACCAGATAGGCTGTATATAGGATCCTCTGGGCCCTTATTCATCAGTCCCACTCTGAGCAGGCCTGTGAGCCCAGGAGTCCTGACTGCCTCACCCAACCCAGTAGCTAGGTTATAGGCCAGAGGTCGGCAAACTTTTGAGATGGAAGAGCCAATCCTGTCCCTTACAACAATTTAAAAATTATTCTAGAGCCATAAAACAAATGAAATCACCATTATGTGAATAATATCCTTTACAAATTTTATAAACAAAACTATGATAGTTTTATTTTCAATTTTACTTCAGAGCCACATGTATGTACCCAAAGAGCTGCATGTGGCTCATGAGCCACAGTTTGCCAACCCTGTTATAAGCAATATTTCCTTGGGTGGGCAGTCCCAGGGAGGTAACTCTGAGGAGGGTGTGACTCCCCCCTCCCAAAGGCACAAACGGACTGAGTGTGGCCCTGGAACTGGGGGGTGGAGGTGGAACAGAAGAAGCCTGTCCTCTGGGCGAGGGGGCCTCTGGGCAGCAGCTTCCTGTGTGGTTCCAGGCTGAGGGCCCAGCCCACCTCATGACAGAAGAGCCTTTCATGGGCCTGGGCTCTCAGCATCGGGGGGAGGGCAGGGCATGGAGGCCACTCAGGTGAGGGCTGCAGGGGAGTCTGTGTGTGGCAGAGCAGTGGGAGGGCAAACACATACATGTCCAAGTCAGACTGGGCCTTGGAAAAGTCAGGTCCCGCAGCCTCCCATTTTGTAAATAAGGAAACTGAGGCCCAGAGAAGAGAAGGGAGGTGTCTAAGACCACCAAGGGCAAAGGCAAAGCTAGAACCCAGTGTTCCTGCCTTGCAGCCCAGCCGTGGGTGAGGGGCAGGTGTGAGGCTGGTACTTGTGTGTTAGTGCGTGGCTGTGCATGTGCATGAGTTTTGTTCACGTATAGAACACGATGGCGGGTTTGTACATTGTGAGTCTGGGAGGCCAGGTGGGGGGAAGGGCAGCTGTCTATGCCTCACGTGTGCTGGACCCCTCCTGTGCCTCCTTAGGACCCGCCCTGGGGCAGCGCTGCCCAATGCCACCTTCTGCCTCATCCCTGGCTGCCGTCCTGATGCCTTGCGCTTCCTCCAAACCCTGCAGGTACAAGCCCAATTTGGGCATCCCCTGTCCCCCCACACTCCTGGGCTGGCAGAGTTCTCCAGGCCCCAGCCCAATGGGAAGGAGTGGTACCTCTTTACTCTGGGACACAGGTGTGCCTGCAGCCACGTTCACCTCAAACTGTGCAGACCCCCCCCCCCGCAAAAAAATACCTTACTTTTCTCTCCTCTTTGCTCCTTGCCCCCAACAGCAGCAGCTGCTGATTCGAAACTGAGGGTGGGGGGGGAATGTGTGCAGGGTGAAACTGGGCTCCCCAGTGACGCCCCTGCCCCCCAGGCTGGCTGCATCCCTGTGCTTCTCAGCCCTCGCTGGGAGCTGCCCTTCTCCGAGGTCATCGATTGGACCAAGGCAGCCATTGTAACTGACGAGAGGCTCCCACTTCAGGTAACTGAGGGCCCTGCCCGAGGGGTGAGGACTGGACCCAGTACATAGGAGGGACCCCAAGATCCCAGCCCCCAGGCTAGCCTCAGTCCTATCCCCCATCTACGCAGTATATTGATGATTATTCCCCCAGTCCCAAGCCTCTGGGGCTCCCATAGGATCAGATGGAGGCAGACTCCTGAGGGTTCTGAGAGCAAGTCCTGAGAGCGTCTTTCAGCCTGTTTCCCCATCTGTACAATGTTAGACCAGATGATCTCCATGAGCTCAGCCCCACTGGTCCATGACTGCTTACAATACCCAATTTAAGAAAAGGACAGACACACACACACACATCCAAAATCGGAGTGCCTCCATGGGGCTTTGTGTGGGAAAGCAAAAGGCACAGTGACTTTTCCATCTGATAAAACTAATTTTGCCCAGCTGTGAAAAACATATGTGTGAGCCTTGAATCCACTGAGAAGTGAGAATGGTGTAGGGAGTTAGTAACAATAGCTACCATTCATTGAGACTCTACAGTGCACTAAGCACTTACTACGTATCATCTAATTTAATCCTCACAACCACACTATGAGGCAGGTACAATTATTACCCCCACTTCACAGATGAGGAAACAGAGTCAGAGGTTAAGTAGCTTGTCCACAGTCACACAATTACTAAATGACATTTAAACTCAGCTCTGTGTGGCCCTTGGACTCTTGATTGCTATGTTACCGGAGACTTGGCCAAGCATGGCTGCTTCTAACCTATTTGGAGAGCCATGCAGAGATGGGCTTCTAGTTTCCAGACCTCCAACCCCAGGCTGTCCCCACCCCAGGGTCAGTCAGGGCCTGACAAGGCCCCATGCTTTCTCCTTTTCTCCTGTGCCTCAGGTCCTCCTGGCTGCCCTCCAGGAGATGCCCCCGACACGGGTCCTCGCCCTGCGCCAGCAGACCCAGTTTCTATGGGACACCTACTTCTCCTCAGTGGAGAAAATCATCCATACCACTCTGGAGGTGAGGGGGACTCAGCTGGTGGGGACCCTGGCACTTAGCTCCTGCCTCATGCCTGTCCCCTCTCCACACCTCTTTCCGGACACATCCCCTGCCATGTTTCTGGGGTGAATCTGAGACTTGGCTGTGAGCTCTTGGATAAGTTCCTTCCCCAATGTTGACCTCAGTTTCCCCACCTGTAGAGAGACAGCTGTGGCAAACAGATTCCAAAGCATGTGCCAACTCCAGTTGATGGGCAGTGGCTGCCCGGGTGCTGTGTTGGGAGGGGTTCTGGGTCTGGAAAGAATGTCATGAGCTACTAGTGATGTCTGACACAAGTGAGGAAGGAGAGGGAGGCAGCAATCTGCCACCTCTGGACGCCATCGCTGAATGCCCCCTACTCTGGACTTCTGCATCCAAACCCTTCTGTCCCCAGCAATCTGACGATGCACTTGCCGCACCCCCATAGCTTGAAGGGCAAAGTGCAGGGCTACATCAGGTCCTCACTTTCTCAGCCCCACCCACTGCCACCCTGGCCACACCACCCGCACAGCCTTCTCTCACTTCACAGATTATTCAGGACCGGATCCTGGGCGTATCTGCTCACCCCTCGCTGTTGTGGAACAGCCCCCCGGGGGCACTCCTGGCCCTGCCCACCTTTTCTACAAGCCCCTTGGACTTCCCCTTCTACCATCTACAGCAGGGTAGGCCCTGGGGGTGGGACAACCTGAAGTCCCCTCAGCAACTCTCCCCAAGTCTGTCCCAGCCTGAACCGTAGAGCCCTGCCAAGACCCTCCCAGAATCCCCCACATCTCTTCTGGCTCCCGGGGTCCCCAACTCAGGTCATTCTCCAAGGGAATCTGTCCCCTCCCACCCTAATAGCCTGTGTCTCATTCCCCCAGGCTCTCGCCCTGCAGGCAGGTTCAGCGCCCTGATCTGGGTGGGGGCCCCAGGCCAGCCCCCGCTGAAGCTCATCCAGGCGGTGGCAGGCTCCCAGCACTGTGCCCAGGTCTGCACCCTTGCCAGCTGTGGTCCTGGGATCCAGGGTGGGGGCAAAGGACACGGAAGGGCCCTTGGAGACATCTAGAACCCAAGGATAACCATGCATCTTGGGGGGAGCCACACATTTGGGGGTAGGCACAGGAAGGACTTTCAACTGCCCTTGCTGCTTCTTTAAGTCCCAAGTTTCTGGTACCTTCCCCTCAAACCCCTCTTGGCCTCCCCATTTAAATTGATGACTCCATCTAAAAAGCAGGAGCCTCTTGGGGAGGCTGGAGAAGTAAATGTATGTTCATTCACTTATTTACCCAGCAGTCACTTTCTGAGCACCAAGCTTTGGGCTTGATGCTGACAATGCAGAGAAAATGCAGGAAAGGGTTCTGCGCTGGGATTCAGACTCAGTTAGCATTTCCTGACAAATCTCACTTCCAGAGAAGCCAGAGAGAAGTACTCGCAGAGCGGGGAACCAGTGAGCTCAGCCAGGGCACAGATGAAAGGGCAACAAAGACAGGACATTTGACTGGGCTGGGAATGATAAAGGAGGAGGAGGAAGAGAATCAAAGTCTTCGAGAGAGAAGATGGGGATGGGACATGGGGTCAGGGCCCAAGCTAGGTTCTGCCACCACAGACTCTCTTGAGTTCTAATGCCACAGGTCATTATGCAAAGGTCATCTGGTGACCTTTGAGTCACCAGAATTCCTCCCTTCCAGAAGCCTGGAGGCAAGAACAGGGCAGCAATGAAAGGATTTTGGCTCCAACTAAGCTCTCCTTCCAAATTCACATATACAGTTACTCATCCATTATTTCTTCCATCCTGGGAAAGGTAGCTCATGGGATCTGTCTGCCCCAGACTTCAGTAACTCTCCCTTTCCTCCTAGATCTTGGTTCTCTGGAGCAGTGAGAAGCCGCCCCCACCCAGGTGGCCTGAGACAGCAGTGCCTTTGATAGTCATGAAGGGGCCCAGGAAGGTGAGGGATGGGGAGGAGTGTGGAAGGGGTGGGCTCAGCCCCAGAAGGCTGGGAGTTAGGGAGGGCATTGACTTGGGCCTGAGCCAAAATGGGACTTCAAGTTGGGCCTGAAGAAATCAAGACGGGGTTTTCACTGCAGGCCTAATAGAAATGATCCCTCCCGTCCCCTGGCCCTTGTGAATTGTGCTTTCAGAGAACTGGGGAGAGGCAAAGGATGTAGTACATTGGATGTCTCCAATGAGGGATAGAGGAGAAACCTGGAATCCTACGGAAACATGGACAGATGGCAGCAAATTGGGCCAGAGGGGGGTAGCTTCTGAGAACCTGGGATGGTGTGAGCCACCTGCTTGCTGTGTGGTTGTGGGAAAGTCTCTTCATCTCTCTGGACCTATTTCTTTCAAATGAAGGATGTTTAACAACTCCTCCCAAGGTTGAGGTGAACATCTAATGTGAAAGAGAGGGGTTCTGAGATGTCAAAACTGGAAGGGCCCCTAGACACCAACTGTTCATTTTACCAAGGGGGAAACTGAAGTCCAGAGAGGTAAAATGAGTTCCTCAGGTCCAAGTTCTGGGCACTCTTGCTGTTTTCCCTGCCCTTCCTTCTACACGATGCCTGCAGGGCTCCTGCTTAGCAGATACTCAGATATTCACTGTGGGAGCCTGGGGAGGCTCCCCCAGCTGAGTTGCCCTCACCTCCCTCCCACTGCAGGTCAGTGACCGCTTCTTCCCCTACAGTGCCATCAGCACCGATGCCATCCTCAGCCTTGATGCACACAGCAGTCTTTCCACAAGTGAGGTGAGGACTGGGCCCAACAGGAGCCCAGTGTGGGTGGGGACAAAGCTAGAGGGCCCTGGCAGCCCCTTGGGTTCCCAGAACTGGGAGGACCAGAGATCAAGAGGTCCAGATTCCTGCCTTTGAAACTACCCCAACAAGGCACTCTGCCTCCTCCTTAGAAAGCTAATAGAAGCTTCCCAGACTCTTCTGAAAACATTTTTTTTCGCTCCCAGCTAGAAAAGTTCCCCGAAGCATCCCCTGGAAATGTTCATGCTCCCACCTCCTCTCCCCTGAGTCGCCTCCACTAGGCTGGCCTTGGCTCCATATCTCTGGATGTTCCTTCCTCACACCTCATTTCAATATCTCCCCAGGTGGACTTTGCTTTTTTGGTGTGGCAGAGCTTCCCGGAGCGGATGGTGGGCTTTCTGACGTGGAGTCACTTCTGGGATGAGGCCCGGAATGGCTGGGGCTACACTGCCAAGAGGTCCAACGAATTCTCCATGGTCCTCACCTCGCCTGCCTTCTACCATAGGTACAGATGGAAATTCCAGTCATCAGGATCTGAGGGCCTGAGACCCCCCACCCCGTCTTTAAACCAGGAGCAGGGTGGCATGGGAGTGAATACAGCAGTCAGCCTAGAGCCCAGAAATACAGGTTCAAGGCACAGATCTGCCATTTCCTAGTTGAGGCTCAGCTTCCTCACCTGTAAAACGTATTCACTTCACAGGGCTGGTGTGATAATCAAGGAGAAAACCAAATGAAGTGCTTGGCACACAAATGGTCAACAAATGGTAGCTAGTGTTATTTTAAATACAGCTATGCAGAGGGTCTGGAAGGTGTTTGGGTGTGGTAGTGGTGATGGGGGGGTGACAAGAGAATGATCCTGATGCTTTATAAATGTGTGTGTGTAAAAATAATAAAATAAAACGAAATTTAGTGAGCATAAAAATAAATAAATGTGGGTGCTATCAGCTGGGGACTCCCCAAGGCCCTCCAGAAGCTTCCTGAAGCACCCCAGTCTTGGGGCAGGGACTGAATTCTGGAGGGCCTCTTTAGAGGGTTTCCTTAAACATGTTTAAACCAAATATGTGCAGCTTGAAACCTCTTGTAGATTTATCCAGGAGCTCTGCAGGAAACTCTCGGTAGGGTGAAGAATAGTCCTAATGTCTGCAGGGAGGGCCCAGGTTGTTCTGTTCAGATGCCTATGTGATGCAAGCTCACTTGGAGCAGCGTCAGCCTGGCTAATCCACATCCTCCCTGAAGCTGGTTTTGGGATGGACTTGAAACCAGCTGGCTCCCCCCTACCCCCCCCCCCAATCTGGCTCTGAGTTCTTACCTCAGAGGCTGGGGGCAGGGGGAGGGGGGGCGGCAAGAAGCTGTGAGGGAGGAGCGGGGAGTGCACTAATGGCTGCAGACAAGCCAGAGTACAGAACAATGGAGAGCGATTGGTACTTGGGGTGGGAGCTCCCTGAAGTGGCCAGGGCTCAGAGGGGAGCTGGGGTTTTACAGGTTTTGTGATTGGGGAGCCTGAGGTCAGGAGTGAGGAGAATGGGGCGCGCGCG